CGTTGCTTCTGACGTTCTTCCCTTTCAGTGTCCCTTGCTGCTGTTGCTGCTAGCATTCCTTCCTGCTGCTGCTGGCGTACCTTTCTTTTAGTGTCCTTCTCACCCAGCTTTCATACCTCCCAGCGTGATGGCGTCCTGTCATGCCTCAGAGTATCTTCTCAACACATTCCTCTGTAATCAAGATAACTGCAGAATGCCTCTCTCTTTTCTAATATTTAAAATACGCTATATTATCCCCTCTCACAGTGTGAGAGTGTTAGAGCGAGAGTAATTGAGAATGAGTGAGAATGTGGGCAAAAGGTTTTTGCCAGTCTTCATTATCAATTTATATAATTCATTTAATATTTAAATGTAAATAACAGAGGCATACTGACGATTAAATAATTATGAGAGGAATTATTAAGCTTTTAGTTCAGAGTTTGCTGGTAGTTGTTGACACCATGTGTCGTCAGAGGTATACCTTAGCAAAGGGACGGCAGAGGTATACCTTAGTGAAGGGACGTCAGAGGTACACCTCAGTGAAGGGGCGTTAGAGGTATAAATTAGTGAAGGGACGTCAAAGGTATTCCTTAGTGAAGGGACGTCAGAGGTATAACTTGGTGAAGGGACGTCAGAGGTATACCTTGGTGAAAGAAGGGATACTGAGGGCACTGAAACAATATATTGGGTTGTGTCAGTAATAACTACTCATCTTTACTCTGTAATTTCCAAATAAACAAGGAAATTCTTGTGCCAGTTATTATCTGTCCTCCTGCAAGTTATAAGATTCTTTTTTTTTTTTTTTGATATTCAATTGGACTTTAAATTAAGAATTTTTATTAAATATTTGTTACTGGTTCATTTTCAAGACACGAGTGGTGTTTATACTTCACTCACCTCACTGCCAACTTTAACGTCTGGTTTCTGAACGAACTTTAAAAGTTGGACCGAAACGTCACCATAAGTTTCATTCTCCTAGGTGCCGATTGTGTCAAATTAACTCGGTCGTTTTTTTTTTATTATTTTAAATTGTCTATCTTGTCTCCCGTAAACAATCTTCCCTCTCCCCCCCACAAGTCTAAACTAAGGCAAAGAATCTCGACACAAGGGCCCGGTCGCTGCTATGGTACAGGGAATTCGTCCTAAAAAAAAAAAAAATCTGTGGATCACTTGGTGCCATCAACTTCGCGGTAATTATAGTGACTTTCACAATTTATTACGGATTACAAGTGCAAGACCTCAAATTTTCAAGTGTAGACCGACTGTTGAGCGACTGTATAAATCAGATTTTGAAAGTGTAATGAGTGGATGACAGAGCGACAGTTCTAACTGCTGACTGAGAACAGTCAGTAACCTCCAAGAGGAATCGCCATGCCTTAATTTATTTGGGTCCACTGGGGACACAGAAGAGATTATAGAAGGGTTGTCCTGCTGAGCAACACACTGGTGATAACTCTTGTAATGTTCAGCAGGAATCAGAGAGCCTCTATAGCAAGAGTAGAAACAGCCTGCCTAATATCGACATGCCTCTATGTGGGTCGACTGACACAGGAGTTATCGCAGCAGTGGCGCGAGCGACTCACTTGAATGCTAAATGTATGTGAATAAGGAGACGTTTGAAGAAGACTCAGCTGGTTTATTCGAATGCCACAGAGTGAATGTTGCGACTGACCAGCAGGACTGTACTGCCGCGAGCGTGCAGCGAGACGACCTCATATATAATATAAGTTGCTGGGTGGAAGAATGTAAATGGAATAAGGATATACACGATTGAATGAAGACTCCAGGGGTTCAATTTACGAAATGGCAGCAGCCCATGTCCGAATCAGAGCCTCAACATCAAGGCAGACCTCCTTGAGGGACGTATTTATACAAAGAGCCAGGTAACAGCACTGAATTGTTAATAGCCTTGTTGCATTCTCGGTAGTGTGTTAGGAGTCAGGGAAGGACCACCACCTCTCACACCAATACAAACACTACGACTTTGTTAATTCGGTACTCAAATTAAAAGCTTATGAGCTGGTACCAACAAAACAACCACCACCCCCTTGGGACGACCACCCCAGACCACCTCTCTGGGACGACCACCCCAGACCACCTCTCTGGGACAACCACCCCAGACCACCTCTCTGGGACAACCACCCCAGACCACCTCTCTGGGACAACCACCCCAGACCACCTCTCTGGGACAACCACCCCAGACCACCTCTCTGGGACAACCGCCCCAGACCACCTCTCTGGGACAACCGCCCCAGACCACCTCTCTGGGACAACCGCCCCAGACCACCTCTCTGGGACAACCGCCCCAGACCACCTCTCTGGGACAACCGCCCCAGACCACCTCTCTGGGACAACCGCCCCAGACCACCTCTCTGGGACAAACACCCCAGACCACCTCTCTGGGACAAACACCCCAGACCACCTCTCTGGGACAAACACCCCAGACCACCTCTCTGGGACAAACACCCCAGACCACCTCTCTGGGACAAACACCCCAGACCACCTCTCTGGGACAAACACCCCAGACCACCTCTCTGGGACAAACACCCCAGACCACCTCTCTGGGACAAACACCCCAGACCACCTCTCTGGGACAAACACCCCAGACCACCTCTCTGGGACAAACACCCCAGACCACCTCTCTGGGACAAACACCCCAGACCACCTCTCTGGGACAAAACACCCCAGACCACCTCTCTGGGACAAACACCCCAGACCACCTCTCTGGGACAAACACCCCAGACCACCTCTCTGGGACAAACACCCCAGACCACCTCTCTGGGACAAACACCCCAGACCACCTCTCTGGGACAAACACCCCAGACCACCTCTCTGGGACAAACACCCCAGACCACCTCTCTGGGACAAACACCCCAGACCACCTCTCTGGGACAAACACCCCAGACCACCTCTCTGGGACAAACACCCCAGACCACCTCTCTGGGACAAACACCCCAGACCACCTCTCTGGGACAAACACCCCAGACCACCTCTCTGGGACAAACACCCCAGACCACCTCTCTGGGATGACCATCACAGATCACCTCTCTGGGACAAACACCCCAGACCACCTCTCTGGGATGACCATCACAGACCACCTCTCTGGGACAAACACCCCAGACCACCTCTCTGGGACAAACACCCCAGACCACCTCTCTGGGACAAACACCCCAGACCACCTCTCTGGGACAAACACCCCAGACCACCTCTCTGGGACAAACACCCCAGACCACCTCTCTGGGATGACCATCACAGATCACCTCCCCGAGACAACCATCATAGACCATCCTGAGACGACCATTTTAGATCACCTCCCTGAGACGACCATCATAGACCACCTCCCTGGGACGACCACCTTAGATCACCTCCCTAGGACGACCACCTTAGATCGCCACCTCCTTGGGACGACCAACCTAGTTGAACAGTTTCCTGGTACACAAAGCTTTCTATAAGAAAATTCATCCCCTTGAATCTCCCATGACTTTCCTTCAAGACTTTCTCCATGACTTTCCTTCAAGACTTTCTCCACGACTTTCCTTCAAGACTTTCTCCATGACTTTCCTTCAAGACTTTCTCCACGACTTTCCTTCAAGACTTTCTCCACGACTTTCCTTCAAGACTTACCAAGACATTCAAAGACTTTTTCCATAACTTGGTGCAAGACCTTCCCCAGTGTGATGTACAAGGCGTCAGTGTGAAGGTCCACTCATTGTAGGGGAGGTCAGTGGGGGTCTGTAGAGGAGTGTGTATGTGAGGCTCTGAAGGGGCGTCTGGGGAGGATCTCTGAAGGGTTTCCTTGCAGAGGGTGTCTTAGAGAACAGGATGAGGGGCATGTGGCAGGATGAGGAGCACGTGGTAGGGTGAGGGGGCATGTGGTAGGGTGAGGGGACATGTGGCAGGGTGACGAAGAAGGGAATGCATCTGGGAGGGGGGTTCTGGCTTGTATGGGCCCCTCCCCTACTATCACCATTGGTGATGACCCTTACAATTTTAGCGCTTCCCCGTTAATATAATGTATCCTCTAACTTATATCAACACTTTCCTTACTTCCTCGCCTCCCCCACTCTTTCCCTCCCTCCCTCCTTCCCCCCCCCCCTCTTTCTCTCTTCCTCCCTCCCTCTCTCTCTCTAACTTTCTTCTCTCCTATATCTTTCTGCCTTTCACAGACGCTGCATATTAAGGTAAAATAAACTGAGTACCATCTGGTCTCTACTAACACCACCAGGTTGAGCACCATCTGGTCCTTACTAACACCACCAGGTTGAGCACCATCTGGTCCTTACTAACACCACCAGGTTGAGCACCACCTGGTCCCTACTAACACCACCAGGTTGAGCACCATCTGGTCCTTACTAACACCACCAGGTTGAGCACCATCTGGTCCTTACTAACACCACCAGGTTGAGCACCATCTGGTCCTTATTAACACATCTGGTCCTTACTAACACCACCAGGTTGAGCACCATCTGGTCCTTACTAACACCACCAGGTTGAGCACCATCTGGTCCTCACTAACACCAGGTTGAGCACCACCTGGTCCTTACTAACACCACCAGGTTGAGCACCACCTGGTCCCTACTAACACCACCAGGTTGAGCACCATCTGGTCCTTATTAACACCACCAGGTTGAGCACCGCCTGGTCCCTACTAAGACCACCAGGTTGAGCACCATCTGGTCCTTACTAACACCACCAGGTTGAGCACCATCTGGTCCTTACTAACACCACCAGGTTGAGCACCATCTGGTCCTTACTAACACCACCAGGTTGAGCACCACCTGGTCCTTACTAACACCACCAGATTGATCACCACCTGGTCCTTACTAACATCACCAAGTTGAGCACCATCTGGTGCATCTTACCTGTACACCAGCTACCTCACCAGTGTACCAGCTCTGGCGACGGCACTACTGAACGGCTTCTCCTATAGTAAAGATCAGTGCCAGGTGACTCTTCATAATAAGCAACACAGCCTAACACCTAACAAGGTGTTGTAGACACCAGGTCAGGCACAACCTCACCTGGTCAATCAAGCGCGTGACGACCCCGGAAGGCGGCGGCGTCACATCCTCACGTACCTGGGATAGAGGACAGAACTGCTATTAGTGACAATCGTGGATGCTCTCAAACAACAGTGTGGCGGTTATGGTCACATATTCCAGCTTCGATGTATAAAGTAAGGCAACAAACAATAACAATCACTAAGGCGGCATACATACATACATACACGGTTTAGAAAGACACGTAAGCAAACACTGACATATTTATTAGAAAACGTTTCGGTCCTGGGACCTTGATCATTTCTAACATACAGAGGTAGAAAGACATTATATATATAGGCGGAGAGTGAGGTGTGAGTGACGCACGGTAACCTGAAGAATGTCATGTTGAGATGAGGACGGGTAGACGATGAAATCATGTGACTCCTGTGTTGTTGGGTTGGTGGTGCTTAAGTATCATGTATGCTAATATTTTTGAATTCTTTTTAGTTTTCAGTGTTACGTACTATAGTGTCGGTGACGGCGATTAGCGAGGCTTCTAGACCCCGTCGTCGTCTGAGATCTGGTTCGGTGAGAACGAGTTGTGCCTCATTCCAGTTCATCAAATGCCCCGTGGAGTCTCTGTGGAGGACACAGGCGTACCTTACATAGTCTCTGTTAGAAGCATTTCGATGCTCATTCAGGCGGACTGCAAGATCTCTGCCTGTCTCGCCTACATATTTCTTGGGACAGAATCCACAGGGGATAGTGTAGACGCCTGCTGTGGATTCTGTCCCAAGAAATATGTAGGCGAGACAGGCAGAGATCTTGCAGTCCGCCTGAATGAGCATCGAAATGCTTCTAACAGGCGATGTAAGGTACGCCTGTGTCCTCCACAGACTCTCCACGGGGCATTTGATGAACTGGAATGAGGCACAACTCGTTCTCACCGAACCAGACCTCAGACGCCGACGGTGCCTAGAAGCCTCACTAATCGCCGTCACCGACACTATAGAGCGTAACACCGGAAACTAAAAAATTTCAAAAACATTGGCATACATGATACTTAAGCACCACCAACCCAAGAGTCACATGATTTCATCGTCTACCCGTCCTCATCCCAACATGACATTCTTCAGGTCACCGTGCGTCACTCACACCTCACTCTCCGCCTATATATATATATATATATATATATATATATATATATATATATATATAATATATTTTATAGTCTTTCTTCCTCTATGTGAGAATTGATCAAGGTCCCAGGACCAAAACGTTTTCTAATAAATATCTCATAGTGTTTACCTACGTGTCTTTCTAAATCAACTTGTCGGTATTTATTACCAAGGTTTATACCACACACACACACACACACACACACACACACACACACACACACACACACGAGCACACGAATGGTACTCTACAATCAAGGCGAGGACGGTTCTGTTCCTAATATAGTGTGACTATTACTACTTTTAGTACGATTAAACGACCTATTAGAAGAAATAGTTTTGTGTGTGTGTGTGTGTGTGTGTGTGTGTACTCACCTAATTGTACTCACCTAATTGTGGTTGCAGGGGTCGAGACTCAGCTCCTGGCCCCGCCTCTTCACTGATCGCTACTGGATCCTCTCTCTCTCTGCTTCCTGAGCTTTGTCATACCTCTTCTTAAAACTATGTATGGTTCCTGCCTCCACTACTTCACTTGCTAGGCTATTCCACTTGCTGACAACTCTATGACTGAAGAAATACTTCCTAACGTCCCTGTGACTCGTCTGAGTCTTCAGCTTCCAGTTGTGACCCCTTGTCCCTGTGTCCCCTCTCTGGAACATCCTATCTCTGTCCACCTTGTCTATTCCCCGCAGTATCTTGTATGTCGTTATCATGTCTCCCCTGACCCTTCTGTCCTCCAGTGTCGTCAGTCCGATTTCCCTTAACCTTTCCTCGTACGACATTCCCTTGAGCTCTGGGACTAGCCTTGTTGCAAACCTCTGTACTTTCTCTAACTTCTTGACGTGCTTGACCAGGTGTGGGTTCCAGACTGGTGCTGCATACTCCGTATGGGTCTAACATACACAGTGTACAGTGTCTTGAACGATTCCTTATTAAGGTATCGGAACGCTATTCTCAGGTTTGCCAGGCGCCCGTATGCTGCAGGGGTTATTTGGTTGATGTGTGCCTCCGGTGATGTGCTCGGTGTTATGGTCACCCCAAGGTCTTTCTCCCTGGAGTGAGGTCTGTAGTCTTTGTCCACCTAGCCTATATTCTGTCTGCGGTCTTCTTTGCCCCTCCCCAATCTTCATGACTTTGCATTTGGCTGGATTGAATTCGAGGAGCCATTACTGGACCACATGTCCAGCCTCTCCAGGTCTCTTTGCAGTCCTGCCTCATCCTCGTCCGATTTAATTCTTCTCATCAACTTCACGTCATCTGCGAACAGGGGACACTTCAGAGTCTATTCCTTCCATCATGTCGTTCACATATATCAAAAATAGCACTGGTCCTAGAACTGACCCCTGTGGGACCTCGCTCGTAACAGGCGCCCACTGTGATACCTCTTCACGTACCATGACTCGTTGCTGCCTCCCTGTCAGGTATTCCCTTATCCATTGCAGTGCCCTTCCTTTTACGTGTGCCTGATCCTCCAGCTTCTGCACTAATCTCTTGTGGGGAACTGTGTCAAAGGCCTTCCTGCAGTCTAGGAAAATGCAATCTACCCAACCTCTCTCTCGTGTCTTACTTCTGTTACCTTGTCATAAAACTCCATGAGGTTTGTGATACAAGATTTGCCTTCCATGACCCATGCTGGTTTTCATTTATAATCTTGTTCCTTTCCAGGTGTTCGACCACTCTCCTCCTGATAATCTTCTCCATGACTTTGCACACAATACATGTCCAGAGACACAGGTCTGTAGTTTAGTGCCTCGTTTCTGTTTCCTTTCTTAAATATGGGGACTACATTAGCTGTCTTCCATTTCTCAGGTAGTTGCCCAGTTTCAAGGGATGTGTTGAAGATTGTGGTTAGAGGCACACACAGCATCTCTGCTCCTTCTCTAAGGACCCATGGGGAGATGTTGTCCGGTCCCATCGCCTTTGAGGTGTCAAGGTCACTTAAGAGCTTCTTCACCTCCTCCTCAGTTGTTCGTATGTCATCCAACACTTGTTGGTTATATTCCCTCTTGATGTTCCCTTCTGTGCTGTCTTCCCACAGCCCTTCCTGTCTCTACTGTAAAAACTTCCTTAAATCTCCTGTTCAGCTCCTCACATACCTCCTGATCATTTCTTGTGAGTTCTCCACCTTCTGTCCTTAATCTGATCACCTGGTCTTTGACTGTTGTCTTCCTCCTGATGTGGCTATACAACAGTTTCGGGTCAGTCTTGATTCTCGATGCTAAGTCATTTTTCATACTGTCGCTGGGCCTCCCTCCTTACCTGTGCGTACTCGTTCCTGGCTCTGCGACTGATCTCCCTATTTTCGTGTGTTCTCTGCCTTCTGTACTTTTTCCATTCTCTATTGCACTTTGTTTTTGCCTCCTTACACCGTCGGGTAAACCAGGGGCTTGTTCTGGTCTTCCCGTTGTTACTGTTGCCCTTGGGAATGAACCTTTCCACTGCCTCCTTGCATTTTGTTGCTACATATTCCATCATTTCATTTACTGGCTTTCCTGCCAGTTCTCTGTCCCACTGGACCTCCCGCAGGAAGTTCTTCAACCCTATGTAGTCCCCTCTTTTATAGTCAGGCTTTTCCCATTCTACTCCTGTTATTCTCTCCACTTGCAGCTCTACTATGTATTCAAAGCACAGAACCACGTGGTCGCTAGCTCCTAGGGGACTCTCATACTTGATGTCCTCAATGTCTGAGCTGCCCAGGGTGAACACAAGGTCCAATCTTGCTGGTTCATCCTCCCCTCTCACTCTGGTAGTGTCCTTAACATGTTGGTGCATGAGGTTTTCCAGCACCACGTCCAACATCTGGCTCTCCATGTTTCGGGACCCCATGTGGCTCCAGGTTTTCCCAGTCAATCTCCCTGTGGTTGAAATCCCCCATAACCAGCAACTTTGCTCTGCTGGAGTGAGCTCTTCTTGCCACCTCAGCAAGTGTGTCCACCATTGCTCTGTTGCTCTCTTCATATTCCTCTCTTGGCCTCCTGCAGTTCTGTGGTGGATTATACATCACTGCAATGACCACTTTGTGTTCCCCAGACTGAAGTGTACCTGCTATGTAGTCTCTTTCTCCTGTCTCATCTATTCCTTCCATTTTCTCGAATTTCCATCTGTTTTTTACGAGCAGAGCAACCCCACCTCCCCCCCTACCCCTTCTATCTTTCCTCATGATCTGGTATCCTGGTGGGAAGATTGCATCTGTTATTGTCTCCATGAGTTTTGTTTCTGTAACTGCTATGATGTCTGGGGACTTCTCATTGATTCTTTCTTGCCATTCCTCATGTTTATTCGTTAATCCATCTGCATTTGTGTACCAAACCTTCAACTTCTGTTCTAATACTGTAACTGTGGTGCGGGGGGTGGAAACAGAGGGATCGGTGTGTGATGGTTGGTTTGGAATGTTCAGTTGCCTTGGGGGTGTCGTGGCTGGAGTCCTTCTGCAGGTGTTTCTGGGGGGTGCGCTTGTCCTTCCATTTGATCCTGGGTTATTCTGCTCTCCTTTTTCATTTCCTCCCATTTCTCCTTTCGTTTTTGAACTCTCTCTTTCATTGTCTTCCTTTCGTCCTGTGTTCTGTCTCGGTCGAGGTACACACTCCGGAACTCCTGCTTGCCTCTCAGCCGTGCTTTCTCCTGCAGGATCATGGTTCGGGTTGATTCTGCCTTGAAAATTACTTTGAGAGGCCGATTCCTTTTCTTTGTGAACCACCCCAATTCTCCGAAAATTTGCCACCTGGGTCATGTCCCCCTCGCCTATCACCTTCATGATGTCTTCAATCGCTTTTTTCTCCTCCTGCTTTCTTTCATCATAAGTTTCCCCTTTAGCTTCGTCTAGCCCATAGACAAACACGGATCTCTCCCTTTCCACCTCCCACTGTGACTCCCATTGCATCCTCTGATGTGTTTTAGTTCCTTCCCGTGGAGTGTTCCTTCCTTCAGTCCCTTCCCTCG